AAGTTTGCCCGTTGCCCAATTAAGTAATTTGTGATGAGACTTATCTCGCGGCCCTTGCACAGTCCATGTTCGCCAATCGATGCCAGGGGCGTTGAAATCCCCAATGATAAAGACATCTTTCTTCTCACTGGCTTTGTAAAGTTCAATTATGAGCATGAGATCTTGGTCGAAAGTCTGGTTAGGTGAATGGCACACCACCGGAAGCGTCAGTGATCAGACATTCTTAGCAGATATGGTAATGATTAACAGTTCCACATCCCGTACCAGACTATGTACATCAGTCATAGCGGTCAGCTTGCAAGTGACATAGATTAGGACTCCTCCTCCTCGGCGTGGTCTATCTCACCTAAATTGCTGTGCTCAAAGACTTTTTGGCAACAAGCATGCACTGATGCAATACAGGAGGTAGAAACCAAGGAGATCAACTACACAGATAGCTGGGGGTAATTCCGTCAGTATAGGCGTTTTTGTTAAAACTAAAACAGTCCGGTCATGCTGCTTCTTGCACAATGTCAAAATGCAGTAAATATCATACATCTGCCTTCAAGCTTTTGCACAGAACCTGTCAGAATTTTGTTGGTCTTACTGAGTCCCGAAGTCGCAAAGAAAGGCGTCTCATAGGATCCTCTTATATTATGACTTTTCACCAACTAAACGTCTGAATTGTTCTTGGTGGCATGCGTTATGGTATACCGATAACTCGAAAGTTTTTTATATGTACGAAGGACCAGGGCGTTACATGATCTTTCCGCGCATATGAGGCTTTTGTCTAATATGACAGTTCGATCGTCGTATCCGATGAGGTCCACCGTATGTTCCAGAGCAGGATGAGAGCAGGGACGGTGGCTTGCACGGGAATTAGTTTGTAGCGGTAGTAGACTTGTGTAGCATCTGCCGTGCTCTCTCCTTCTCCACTTGAATTCGGTGTCAAGACATAGAAAAAAATGCCGAAGGCGGAAGAGGGCGCTGCTGGTTGGGGTGGTCGGGCCCGCACCTAGGCGTGCCACTACATCTGTTGGCCCACAGCAAACGTTTGGCCAGGACTTTAACAAAAACAGCAATGTAGGGACGGCGTGGAACCCAATGCTTGCATTGTGAGCCGGCAACTGGGTATGCCACAACGTCCCGAATGTTGGCATTTGCTATGGGTGTGCATTCCCGATAACGCTTTCCAGGATCAATTATGGCCACCATGATGATCCAGTGGACCTACCGAGTGTCCCGTTTTGGGAGCACTCCTAGTGAAAGAAAGTGCGGAGCAATAACAATGTGCACGCATGTGCTCCAAAAGATATCAACTCAAGAAAACGGGCGGGCTCGTATTTTTGACCCACAATCGAACTGACTCAGAAATAGCAGGAGAGGGATATCCGTCGACACGTTTGGCTCATGGGTCTCCATAATCTGTTTAGATGAAATTAACCGTTCTGCCTAATATATTATTAATATGACTGTGGCCATGTCTTATTAAGCTGGCCTCGATATTGTCCTCAACGGCTAATAACATGCGGCAGCTGGCATGGAAATGTCTATTCCCTTTATTCTTAAGCTGAGAAGGCTGAATATTGGAAGTTCAGGAACCGTGTATGTGTGTCAATGGTGTACGTGGCGTTAGATTTAAATCGATTTTCTCTTCATCGCTTATACATAGGCAGTGATGTAAGATTTTGCATTCAGAAAAGTTCCCACACATTTTGGGTGCTGAATCCACCGAACGACTGTACCGTAGTGATGGAGTTTGTGCTCTCTGAACACTATGGCCGGTCTCAGCAGGGACAATTTCTTTGGCCAACAGCGACAGCTGTTCTTCGGCGCTTCTGGTTGGACTAACCATAACTTCATAAAAGAAATTGGCGACTGATAAAATCCGATACCGTGCAACCCCTCCCTTCTTGACGGTCGAAAGCTTGTCGCCAGCAGTTTTTTTTTTCCTGAACCCTCCAATCCATAAAGCCACCATCAACTTTATTTTTATTCCTTTTCCACAGGAGTTTTTTTTCACTGCTGGCCGGATTTGTGTTTAACGCTTCCCTGACAATGCATGTAAACTGGCATTAAATAAAATTATTATTATTATTATTAAAATAAAGCATAGCAGAATTAACCTTATCAGAAGACGACAAACAAGATGGTCCAACTAAGTTTACTGTTTTTCTTGAACAGCCTGGTATCCCACAATTCCTCCGCAGCGAGTAAGTGATGTTTCCTTTGTGATGAACTTGACTCGATGGATCGTTCTCAGGCAACGGTGGTCAAGCACCTCTTATATTCCCGCGTTCAGCATGGCACTGACAGCCGCACAGGATCGCATGGATAGGTGTCCAGTAAGAGCTGACTGTTATTGCGATGGAGCGAATTATAGGGTGTAGGACCCACAACTAACTTAAGCTGGCCTGTGGACCGTACCATACGTTGAATGGTGATAAAGGGGGTTTTATGGATGGGGCAAAAGGCAGAATGGAGAGCAAGAAGACACAGAAAATAGATGAATTTCTGCGGAAAGTTTTATCGTACGCTGTCATTTAGGAAAGAAAATGAACGCGATAATTAAAAAATAAACAAAAAGTAGTCCTGAAAAGATCACGGACTTTGAATAAGGCGCCTCTGGTAAGTTTACACTTAGTCAAGAAAGGAAAACTTCAAATAATGGGAACGGTAAATAACAAGTGATGTTTACGGCCACACTGAATTGTAGGGTATACTTTGTAGTTGCCATCTGCTTGGGAATCCTACACCTTATCGTTACCCGATGAAGATATCGCAAAAGGTCTATGGCATCTTCTAGAGGCTTGTAAAGCTGCGAAAAAATAAATAAGTGTGATTATGTTTGCGTTCAATGTTTTGTAAATATGTAAAGCGCACAAGTTTGGATGGAAAAAGATATACGTCCAGCTATGCGGTCTAAGGTGACCAGTTTTCTCGAGCGGAAGTGGAACATAATTTTTGTCAGCTTAGCTAGTTAGTGATGAACTGTTCTCTGAAGCTGGGAAGACGTCCGAAAGTCTCGCATCGTCACTCAGCGGTGGGTTAGGTGTCAGCAATAAAGTCGACATTTACATGACGAAGAAAACCGCCCAAATGGGGGGACCATTCACGTGATTGGAGCAGTTCGTGGAGCCTTTGAATGATACATATGCTTTTGCGAACTATTCCATGGGAATTGCTGCCTAAATCCAGCATCTACACACTAAATGATTCTTCCGTCGTTAGGCCGTACAGACGGAAAGGATAATTGGAGTATTTAGTGCTAGATGCCTGGAGAAATCAGCCAAACGCCTCACATACTGATGGCATTTTAGTTATGACTACTCGTTGATGACTTTTTCTTTAACTGGGGCTGCAAAGCGAAACCAGATTTCCGTGGTCAGAGCTTCTGATGAGTCTGGTGGTCACAGCTCTGCGACATTAAGGCATCTTGCCTGAGACATTTTGTGAGCGGATGGGAGGTATGCTCTCAACCTTACTTGGGCGAGGACATGGTCTGACCCCCAGCTTTTACTAGCTACGTTGCCAATCATCTAGTTGATTTCATGCTCTCAACGAAATCTCGAACTAACAAGAGTACAGTCAGTCTGATAATTGGCGAGACCGTAGTTTGCATAACAGAAAGTGCTTGTGGTTATGCTGGAAACATACGTCATGACAACCGGTGCTGGTCAGCGGTGTTTTGGACCTTCACCATTGTCATACCGAAAAACATGTCAGAAGCGAACAAGAAACAGCTACTTGATGAGCCATCTTGAGCATCCCTGTCATCATCAACAGTCCTCATATTATGACGAGGAAATCCTTTAACCAGTTTGTCCGGCTGTAAACAGGTTTCTTTATTGCAGTAGTCGGAAGTGAACGTTAGTACGCAGACAAGAACGACGCGTATGTTAGTAAAGCACCCTTAAGAGCCAGCCGGTAACTGACTGACAGTTCGACCATCGGTTTCGAAGATGTCCATCGTGTGCCCCACAGTTGCAGCAACAATGGGAGCAGGGACGGTGACTTACGCAGGGGTTTATAGTGCCGGTAGACTTGCGTAGCATCTACCCACACTCTCTCCTCCTCCCTCGCCCGAGCCCGGTGTCAAGACAGTGTCAAGAAGACCGGAGACGAGAGAGGCCGCAGGTGGATGGCTCGGACGGATCCTCACCTTGGCGTTCCACCACACCCCCTGGCCCACACAACAAATAACCAGGATTTCAACCAACACAAGAGAGATTTGGAGGCTGGCACAGCCAAAGCCGCACCTGGGCGTGCCGCCAACGCCTGGCTCGGATCCCACACTGTGATGGGAGTGCCATAAAGGCCACATTAAAAAGGAGCCATTGCAGTCTGACTCTCAGACCGCCTCCGGTCATGGAGGAGGTCCAAGGTACCCCGTCAGTTGGCAACCTTCCAAGCCACGGCTTTTAGCGAACCGTGATAGCTTTAAGCGCGTCAGATTGTTTATAGTGAGGAGAAAGTGCGCTGAGTCGTCGACCTCACTCTCCCTTCCCACTCCCACACCCCAGCCGCTGTCCGAGCCGGTCAGCAGACTGGAGTGGGGAATGGGCGCGGTGGCTGTCATGGTCGACTGACCATGACTGCGCGCGCCACGGCACGACGTGGCCCCCATACACACAAAACCAGGATTTCACACAACGGGGGTTGAACGGCGTGTCTCTCACTTGCGTGAGAGTGCCGTGGAAGGTGCTGTTGCAGCCCGTTCCCGGCCCACCAGTCCGCCACTCCACACAACACACACACAACGCGACGAACTGCGTGAACCGAGAGCGGGCGTCAATCAGCAACCTTCCTATCCACGACGCTTGACGTGTCGGGATAGTCTCGGACTCAAGTCACCCGTGCAGCCGAAGCTGCATGGGGACCGAGTCGAGATGCGGACTTCCCACTTGCGTGGGAGGTGGCAGTTGGGTGCATGAGGTGTGTGAGTGTTGATTTCTGGTGGGGTGATGGTGGTGGTGGAGGAGGTAGGGAGTGAGTGAATGTGTGGTGTGGCCAGCGGTTGTCTACCGCAGGTCGTCGTGGATGCGCATGTGGCCGAATAGGCTCATGCGATGCCTGAAAGTGCGAGGACAGTGTGAGCAGTTGAGACGAGCTTGGTGGGTATAGGTGGGTGCTCCAGGCACTGGTTCGCCAGTCTCGGTGCGATGGATTCGCAAGTGACCGACCAGGCCGATGTGTGAGGTGAAGGTACGGTCGCAGTGAGGGCAGGTGTAGTCCTGATCCTCATCCCTGGAGTCGGGGGAGGTGGTGGTAGTGTCGGTTGCTGTGCGTGGGACAGTCGCCTGAGCGGCCGCCGTTGGAGCAGTGGGCGTGGAGGAGGTGGAGGAGGAGGAGGATGAGAAGGAGGAGGATGATGGAAGTGATGGGTCAGAAGAATTGCCAGGGTTAGTTGGCGGCGGAGAGGAGGAGGAAGAGGCAGGCGGGGGAACGATGGTTGGTGCCGTTCGAGAGGCGCAGTTAATCCGAAGATGTCCAACAAGTCCGATTCGAGCCCGGAATGTCCGTTGACATCGAGGACACGTTGGAAGCGGTTGTGCGGCGGCGTTGCTTACTGGGCGAAGTTGTGATTTGCGGGCTTCACGTTTCGCTTTGGCGGCAGCGATGCGGTTGGCTTCGTAGATCGCAGCGCCCGTCTTCACTGTCCTCCTCCAGGTCGGTCGATCGAGTGCGAGCTCCTCCCAGTTGGTGGGGTTGATTTGCAGGCATTTCAGGGAGGACTTCAGGGTATCCTTGTAACGGCGAATCTGGCCTCCTTGACGGCGAGAACCCGTCGCGACGTCTCCATAGAAGAGTCGTTTGGGTAGTCGCTCGTCATCCATGCGCACCAGGTGGCCGCTCCAGCGCAGCTGAATTTGCCTCAGTATGGCGTAGATGCTGAGGATTCCTGTCCGTTCCAGCACATCAGTGTCGGGGATTCGATCCTGCCACTTCAGCCTCAGGATACGACGAAGACAACTGAGGTGGAAGTGGTTCAGACGACGTGCCTGCTTTGCGTACACCGTCCAAGTCTCTGCTCCATACAGTAGTGTCGGCAGGATGACGGCCTTGTACATCTTCAGCTTGGTGCTCAGTTGGAGACCATGACGATTCCAAACTGTGCTTTGGAGGCGACCGAAGGCTTGACTGGCTTTCGAGATCCTGTTGGCGACTTCGTCGTCGATCTTGGTGTTGCGGGAGAGAGTACTGCCCAGGTACGGGAAGTTCTCCACCACTTGCAGTTGGGTCCCATTCACGCTGATTTGCGGCGGCGCGTTGGGGACTGTGGCCGAGTTGGGTGGCGGTTGGTGCATCACCACCGTTTTCTGTGTGTTGATGACCAGACCGAAGTCCTCGCAGGCGGCGGAGAACAGGTCCATGCTGCGTTGCATCTCCTCTTCCGAGGTGGTGTTCAGGGCGCAGTCGTCGGCGAAGAGGAGTTCGTGCACGGTGGTTGTGGATACGCGCGATTTGAAGTGCATCCGCCGTTGATTCAGGAGGTGACCATCCGTCCTGTAGGCGATGCGGATCCCGGGGCGTTCGTCGCGGTAGGCGTCCATCAGCATGGCAGAGAACATAAGACTGAAGAGGGTAGGTGCCAGTACGCAGCCTTGCTTCACTCCATTGGTAACTGCGAATGCCTCTGAGACAGCTCCGTTGTCCGTGACTCGCGCCATCATACCGTCGTGCAGCTGACGCACCATCTGAGTGAATTGTTCCGGACAGCCGAATTTCTGCATGATCTTCCACAGTCCTTCACGATTCACCGTGTCAAAGGCTTTCGTCAGGTCCACGAAGGTAGAGTACAGGTGGGTCCGCATCTCCTGACACTTCTCCTGAAGTTGACGGGCGGCGAAGATCATATCCGTGGTCCCATGATGACGACGGAAGCCGCATTGGCTTTGCGGCAGAAGGCCCTGTTCCAGATGGTTATTGAGGCGGTTGAGGAGGATTCGTGCGAAGATCTTCCCGGCGATGTTCAGCAGGGAGATGCCGCGGTGATTGTCGCAGACTTGGCGATTCCCTTTGCGCTTGTAGAGATGCACGATGGTTGCGTCTTTGAAATCTTGCGGGACTTCACCTTGACGCCACATCTCTTGGAAGAGCGCAGTCAGGTGATCCATTAGTTGGGGACCTCCGTGCTTGTAGACCTCAGCAGGGATTGCGTCCGATCCGGGTGCTTTCCCGCTGGAGAGCTGCTGCACGGTCCTGATGGTCTCCTGGAGAGATGGCGGGAGGTCGAGGTCCACGTTGGTCTCCACTTGCGGCAAACGCTCGATGGCGGCGTCGTTGTCGTCGAACCAGTCCTGGTGTTGGCGGGGAGCGCGACCGAGGACGGCGAGCGCCGTCGACTGGACCGTGTCTCGCAGTTGACACCAGCGGTTCTCCACGGAGGCGTTCTCGGTAGCGGCGGCGTCGTCGGCGGCAGCGATAGGAAGGTTGTCTAGCCGTTGAGCTAGCTCATTGCTGAAATGAAGGTGGTGAGCGGGCAAAGACAACAAGGCAACATTCAGCTTACCTGGGGGTCGCTTACCTTGTGGTCTCCTGCGAGGCTGTAGGCGAATACGCATCTTCGAGATGACGAGGCGATGGTCGGTCCACCCGTCAGCACCCGCGATCGCCTTCGTCACCAGCACGTCCCGCTGATCTCGCCTCCGGACGAGGACATAGTCCAGCAGGTGCCACTGGCGCGACCGAGGATGCCTCCAGGTGGCCTTCTCTCGCTCCGGCAGACAGAAGAACGTGTTCGTCAGGATGAGGCGGTGTTCTGCGCAGATGCGGAGAAGCAGCAGACCATTGTCGTTTGAGCCGCGGAGACTGTGGGACCCAGCACTCCTCTCCAGGCAGTATGGTCTGTGCCGACGCGGGCATTGAAGTCACCAAGGACAATCAACTTGTCCGCCTTCGACACAGTCGCCAAGAGGGCGTGCAGGTCCTCGTAGAATTCGTCTCTGACGGCGTCGGGGTTGGTCATCGTCGGAGCGTAGGCGCTGATGATGGTGGCGAATTTGCCTCCCCCGAGAGGCAGGCGGAGGCTCATCAGGCGATCGTTGATGCCCTGCGGCAAACAGGGCAGTCGTCCCACGATGTCATTCCGAATGGCGAAGGCGACGCCCGCGTCCCGTCGCTCTGCCCTGGGTCGACCGCTCCAGAAAAAGGTGTAGGCAGCACCCACCTCCTCCAGTTGACCTTGTTCGGAGAAACGGGTCTCGCTGAGTGCGGCGATGTCCACCTTGTAGCGCGCCAGTTCTCGTGCCACTAGCGCCGTCCTCCGCTCCGGTCGGTTGCTCCTCGGATTGTCTAAAAGGGAACGAACATTTCAGGCTGCCAGAGTGAGCGCGCTCACCCTGCCAGTCTGGTGACAACGAGTGGGGCGACGGGAAGGAGATGGAGTAGAAGATGACGAAGGAGAAGAATAGGCAGAAGAATAGACGGAGGTAGAGGAAGAAGAGGTAGGATGAGGAGAATGAGTATGGTTGTTGTTGTTTCGATTTTGATTGTTTCGAACATGTTTAGACGTCTGCGGCCCTGGCTAGCCTGGAGACGGCGTGGTACCCAGCAATGTTTAGGCCACCTTTTCTAGGCCCTTCCCCTCGTGGGGGCTGGCAGTGCCATCCCTGAATAGGGCTGCCATGTGCCGTTGTGGCACGGCCGAACT